TTAAAAAGCTTCAATAAATTAATTATATATATATATATATATTTTTTGGGAGTGGGGTACTATTTTTATACAATTTCATTGTACATACAAGTTGAATAAACAAAATTACATTCAATTAAATTTGGAACTAACTTTTTTAACGAAGCCAACATAAGTTATAAGGTGAAATAGTTCAGTTGAATTTGTTTTCATATGGCGGCCCTACTCTTCTTCTTTTGCTGATGGGAATGGGACAAAATACCCCCAAATATTCTGCGAATCCAAACAGAACCCAAATACAAACACCCAAACACTCTTCTTCATTTATTTATTTATTTTTAAGCCAAATTTGACAACTTAATTTTTTAATTTAATTTTTTTAAAAAAAAAATCAAATCATATACACTAATCATTCATGTTTTCAATATAATTTAAAAAGAGTTAGTTTAGAAATACAGAATTTGGAGACTAGATTCTTCCCAAAATGCATGTGGGTGGTATAGATTGAATGAGCAATAAGTTTAGATGTATAGAAACCAAACACAAAATATGACACATATGTTTCACATATGTGGGTCTCACATATAAAACCCACATTATGTCTCATGTAAGCGTTACATTCTCTGTTTAATATATGTGTTTTAATATTAATATATTGTGAAGTCCATGTATAAAATCAAACTCAACCATAATTTTTTTTGAGTTTGCAACATGGTTAAAAAAAAAAATCATATTTAAATACATTAATTTTTTTTAATACTAACAAATTGAAAAGTCACTAAAAAACCAAACCCCAAACCACACCTTAGTTTATTGCAGCCGTCCACGCTAAGCAGGTGACTTGGAGCCCAAGAGTGCCTGCCTCTGTAATGACTATGTGTAAAGTAAATACATTTGGACATAACCAAAAAAGACTTCTAAAGCATATTATAGTCTATATATATACAGATATTGCAAAGTCATATTTCCATTATAATCACAATAAGTTGTCAACATTGTTTTCTTAGAACTTCCATGGCTGGCCTTCAATACAAATTCTTCCCTACTGATTTCTTCTTTCCTCCTCAACAGTCGGTCAACAACACAGACATTCCTCTTCGGCAAGTTCTTCCGATTAAGCCCCGAAAAATTGGTGATATCAACGGCTGTGAACAACCCATAACTCCGATCATCAACTACAAGCATCTGAAAGCTCCTCCCTCCTCATTGCTACCAATATCTCCCATTCGTAAGGAAAATTAGAGCAAGCTTCACTAGGCAATAGTATTGTGTTCTTTTAAGCTATGATATTTTTACCTTGATTCCTCTTTTTTATTTTTTATTAATATAAACTGGTTGAATTTTTTGTAATTTTGATTTGTA